AGGCTTGCAGATAGGGTGGGGATTGGGTGAAATCTAAAAGGCCATGGAGGTGAGTCTGGCTCACCTTGAGTGGGATAGGGGAATGTCCTGGTAGAAAATTCTATTTTAGCCAAAACCGGTTTGGCTCATTGGATGGAGAATCAGCCTGCGGACTGAAAAGTCCCAGATTCGATTCCGGTCAGAGGCATGTATCTTGGTTGCAGGCACATCCCCAGTAGGGGGTGTGCAAGAGGCAGCTGATCGATGGTTCTTTCTCATTGATGTTTCTAACTCTCTATCCCTCTCTTTTCCTCTGTAAAAAATCAATAAAATATATATAAAAAAAAAGAAAATTCTATTTTAACAAATCCAGCAATCACATCCTACTGAAAGGTTTATAGGCAAGATTTAATAAGCAAGGGGTCTCTTTACTAGCATCTTCAGAAGGAAGGCCATTACCAAGACCAGTATAGTAACAGTGCTCAGTCATTATGCCACAAATATTTTCCTCAGAACTATGTACTATGTAAAGATAGGAATAGTGTACAGAAAGTAAAATTAGATAAAGACCAAAATGCTAGAGGAAAGATAAAGAACAGGGAAACATTAGCACTTTCATGGGCAGCACTAGCTGCAGGGAGTTGGCTATATCCACAGACAGAAACACCCAAAGCTCCTCTGCATCCCATATTGTGTGCAAGTTAGTGGAAGGTGTTCGTTACTCAGCCCCACAAAGCTCTGGAAATAAATTTTCATTTCAAGCAGTTCTTAATGCTCATGCTTCCCAGCTGTTTAGTATGGCGTTTCTTCAAGTAAGTAACCTGCAGGGAGTTTGGGTGAGATGGGATGGTAATCAAATACTACAAATCAGCCAGCTTGTTTTGCCAGATGAATCCCTTCCCATCCTGGCCAAGAAGCCCGACAGGCAACTGGATTTCTGAGAGCAGGAATATACTGTACTCTTAAGCAAAACCGATCTCTCTATTGAAATAAATGACTGGAATCTAACAGATCACACTTGCATGTAGTTATGGGAAAGGGAGGAGGAAAAAGAACTTGTCCTTAGACAATGGGACTTAGACCCTAAGAGAAGCTAGCCTTTGACTGTGTTGTAACAGGCCCCAGGGTTCAAGCAAACATGTTTGGTTACCTTCCCACAACTATGCCCTTCCTTTCTTCCTGGCTGGCAAAGCTCACATTTTACTCAAGTGATCTCTTCTCAGCTCTGCCAGGGCTCAGTAATATGGCTTGTCCCCCAGTCTGAGAGGTAAAAAGTCAGTTCCAGGAAAGCTTTCTTGTATCTTAAAAAGAGATCCAGGGAGAAGAATGTCCCTCTCTCCGCCTCTTTTCCTGTTTCTATGTATGAAGATGTGAGCCTCTATATGTAACCACTTTGGAAGCATGGCAGAAAGTAACCAACACAAGGAGACTGATAGAGAAAGAAGATGGGCAGGACCTGGCCTTGTTAGCATCATGGAGTCACAAATTTTAAGTCACCCCACCTCCAGATTCCAGGTAATGTGAGAATGTATCCTCTGGGTCAAGTAACTAGAAGCTGAAAACATGATAACAGACACTGAGCTCTAGATCCAAATTCAACTTTGTCAAAGGTGCAAATTATATCAACTGACTGAATACAAGTAAAAATGTTTCTGTTCAAGAAAAGTTCTTGCTGTTTCATGAACAAAGGTAACAAATGCAAAAGCAATTTCATCCTAGTGATTTGTAAATTCTCTGTCACATGCTTAGAACATTCTGTTTCTCCTCAAGAGCAAATTCCTGATCATTCTTCAAAATCTCTGTGAAAGCCTTTCCCAGGTCTTTAGGCTGATGGTTAACTTGACTAGATCATGGGATGCCCAGATATTTGGCTAAACATTTTTGCTATGTATCTGTGATAGTGTTTCTGGATGAGATTAACTTTTGAAACAGTGGACTCAGTAAAGCATATTGCCCTCCCCACTGTGAGTGGGCCTCATCCAACACGTGAGGGCATGCACAAAACAAAAGTCAGAGGAAGGGAGAATTCACCCCTATTCTGCCTGTTTGACTGAGACATCAGTCTTCTCCTACCCTCAGACTGGGAATTATACCATCAACCTCCCTGGTTCTCAGGCCATAAGATTTGACTCAACTACACGGCTGGCCTTTCTGAGGGAATTTCAGAAAGTGGAACCTCTCAGCCTCCATAATTGCATGAACCAATTCCTCATAATAATAAATCATATATTAATATATCAATCACACTAGTTCTGTTTCTCTGTCATATTCATCTTCATAGCCCTAACACTTAACATAGGAGTTGGCACTTAATGGTTGAGGCAGTTTTTAAATATGGCCCCCAAAATGTTTGACATTCCTTCTATTTTGAGGAAAGTCTATGCCCTAGCCTTGAATCTAAACTGGCTTTTATAGCTTCAACCAATAATAGAATACTGGAGAAGCGCTGCTGTGCAAATCTGTTTTATGAAGCTCAATTCCTGTATCAAATTCCCAATATTGCACTCAATGCCTTTTGGCTTTGAGGTTATGTAACTCATTACCTATGAGGGACTCTGACTCTGTCATTCAATACTATAAGAACAAAGAGAGACTGTAGGTTACCTATCCACTCAGGTAGCAAACAACTGAGCTGTAATTTCCCTATGAGTACCTGATTCCAAGCTCTTCTTCTCTTCACCACTGCACACAATCTTCTTCAGTAACTTTTACTTTACCTATAACCAGTAAAAAGAAATGCTCCAGTAGTTTGGCATATCACTCTATAGTGCTATATGGATGACCTAATGTCATGGATAACAGGCTGCCATAGGCTTAGGGTAGTGATTTGAACCAGTGTGCTGCAAGAATTTTAAAAATAGGCAATTCCTGACTATTTATTCAGGAGCACTGATTTCTTTTCCCTTAAATTGTAAAAATTTTTAAAATGACAACAACCAAGGAAGGGGCAATGGTAAAATATGTACAAAGATAATAATTTAATTAAAAAACATAAAGGAAAAAAATAAAAAATAAAAATTATATACTAATCTAAAAAATAAATAAATATGCATTTCAAATGTGAGGGGAAAAAAATAAATAAATAATAAAATAAAATGACAACAGCCAAAACAGCATAACCATCTGGTGTGAATAAATCAAAATTATACCATTTTATGGTCAGGTCAGCAAAAAATACATTTTTGTGCTGCAGAATTTTGGTAATTATTATATGTGTGTGCCATAAGATGAGAAAGGTTAAAAATCGCTGGCCTAGGGCAAAATTAGACATTGCACCCAAGACAAACAAGGTGCCATCTAGAGTTCAACTTGTAATGCTATTTCTGTGGCCCTACGATTAAAACCTTCCTTCCTCCTATCCATCCCTTCATCCCATTCAAAACCACGAATTCTCAATCAGGACAGCTCTGGAAACTGGGGTTAGAGAGAATCCAAACCTGGATAAGAAAGACAAAAAGTAAGATATCTATCTTACTTTTTCTATCTTGTAAATCAGCAACAACATATTTTAACAGCATATGATCACACATGGTATAGACCCTGAGTAGGGAGAAAGAGATAATTAACATGCTCTTTGATCATTTTGATCCACGTAAGAAGAAAAGAAAAAGTACACACAATTCAGAACAGTAAAAATAATACATAATCAGTGCTAAATTTTTCAAGATAAATTTTTCTAAATATAAAATTTAGTTCATTATACAAGAAGAAAAACAATTACTCCTACTTAACCAAATTTAAACACAACTATTAGGCAACATTTTGATGAACATTTTTAATGCATATATAGTAATATAATTGGGCTCATACCATATAGTTCTATATCCTATTTTATTTCACTTACTGGTATATTTTTAACAGATTCTAAACTAGGATTTTTCAAACTAAACCCTAGTGGATTGTTTGAGAAAGCATAACATGACTTCATTTTTAAAAATATATATTTTATTGATTTTTTACAGAGAGGAAGGGAGAGAGATAGAGAGCTAGAAATGTCGATGAGAGAGAAACATCGACCAGTTGCCTCCTGCACACCCCCTACCGGAGATGTGCCCGCAACCAAGGTACATGCCCTTAACTGGACTCAAACCCGGGACCTTCCAGTCCGCAGACCACTGAGCCAAACCGGTTTCGGCATAACATGACTTCATATTAATGTTGAGGTATTATTGCAATAAACTCAACACATTAATGAGATCAATTTTACTTTATCTTTATTAATTACACTACAACTTATATTTATTATAAACTATCATATTAATCCTATTGAAATACATTTTTTTCTAAGAGCAAGGAAGATTCATATCAGAATAATAATCAAGTGCTCCCATCTTTTGAAAAAAATTACACCTGTTTCTCTGAATTTGGTCAAAGAGAAACAAAATAGAAATGCCATTATCATCTCCACCACCTCTGTACACTTAGTACTCCAGTAATTATTTGTATTACTAATGTAAATTTTATTATTGCTTGAGATCACATTTTATTATTACCAGAGTAAACTCTTACCTGTACCAAAATTTTTCTGGTATACAGGTTCTTTCACATGCATAAGTCCTTCAGAGATATTAATCAATAGTTTCTCCTGCATTTTATTTAAACTAGAGGCCCAGCACACGAAGTTGTGCACGAGTGGGGTCCCCAGGCCTAGCCTGTGATCAGAGCCATTTTCTGCCCACTGGCCAGTCCCCAGTCCAGCCCCGCCACTCCCCAGTTCACCGTGGTTACATGATCACAGCATAGCTCCGGTTCCCTGGAGCCTGCAAGCCAGGGGGACTCACCAGTCCCACCCTGCCGCCACTCACCTCGGTTCACCATGGTTCCCTGTTTGCCATGCTGCGATGGGAGCCTGAGGCTGGGGGTGGGGGGGTCCTGAGATGTGGCCAATACACCTCATGGCAACTGGTCGAGCAGTCGTTCCAGTCATTATGCTTATGGTCGCTGACCTTTTATTATATACAATATTTTTAAAGCTATATGGTATTAGACTAAAAAGACTAAAAAATAAGCTTGCAAAATTGTGTTCATGTTTTTAATGAAGTCTCCAAAAGGGAGGGGAGAGGCTTAATAAAAAGGAAATAAGGAATTACACTATGAAGTTTATACACATTTAAATAAAATAAGTAGCCAGCTGTTTGACATTTGTATCAACTGTATAGAGAACTGTATGGTGAGAACTTCAAAATGGGGGGGAAAATGTAAGTACTAAGTTCTTCTTGAACCTCAATGATTCATAGCCCTGCAGAAAATACTTTGGAAAACTAGGAATGTTGGCTATATAATATTGCTTGAAAGTTAATTCCAAATAGTGATGTGTGAATGAGTGCTGTTTGTCTCCCCTCCTCTGCCTCTTTGCCACAAGAGCACTAGCCACCCACAGACCTTAGCTTTACAGTCTTCCTTGCAGTTAAAAGGGGGGTGACAGGTTCAAACAAGTGAGATCTAAGGGGAAGCTAGTCAAAGTCCTCGCAGGAAGGGTTTTCTTTTCCAATAAGTGAGCTGCACAAGGGGAGGTCCTGACAGTCTTCCTGCTCAGCTGCTGTCCTGTGAAATGCAATGATTCCGCAGAAGGAGGCCCCATGTAACTACAGGGCAAGCCAAGAGACTAGAAACCCATATCAGGCCTGACATTGTTGAGTGACAGAATGAACCAGTGGTGGACCTTCCTGCTTCTAGACTTATTGATACATTAAATTAATTGTGTCCTTCTTGGCTAAGCAAGTTTTACTTAGGAGGTCTTTATTGTACCTGAAAGATCCCAAAGTGTGTTCTGTCATAAGAGTTTCAGTATCTAGTGTGATTGAGGGGAAAAATCAATTATTGATTTTTAGAACTTATTTTAGAATAATTGTAAAATTAAGTAATGACAGTACAGTTGCCATTTTTCAAAATGGCAGTTGCATGTAAAATGAGAATCTGATTCCTGGCCAGTGACACATATTTGCCCCATTTATCTCTATCCAGTCACAAGTTGGCCTTGTTACAGCAGACACAGAATCCTTTACCTAGTGATGGAGAAAATAAGAAGACAACCTTTACTACAGTTTAATGTTAATATGAAAGAATATAAAAATAATCTCACCCATTATGGTTCTAATAGAGTTTGAAGCAAGACCAGTTAATCTCTATCTTACCTTCCAGCCATAAAGTGGTAGGTATCTCAAGAGACATCATCCTTTGAAAGACAGATTTTAAAATACCAAGAAACCCCAATATTACTCAGGGGGGGGGAGGGGTGTTATATTATTTAATAATATAGCATTTCATTGTTTTCCTGAAAGAAAATAACCTTTTAGAAGAAACAATTATCTATAATAATAAAAGCATAATATGCTAATTAAACCGATGACCTTTCAGACATCCTTTCTTCCAGACAAAGCACTGCTAAGGCATGCAGGGGCCATGGCCAAGGCTCTTTCACAAATTTTGTGCATTGGGCCTCTAGTTGTTTTATAAAACACTGGAGAACTATCATTAGTTAGCAGAATTCTCTGTTTCATCTTTGGGACTACCATTTTATTGGCATGTTAGACCCAGTCTTGTATCAAGAATTTTATGATGCATTTTTAAATTAAAATCCCCTGAAACATAATTTTTGAGGTTTCTTAATTTCAAGACAGACAATATATCTAACTTAGAATAATTATAAAATTAAATAATGATGTTATATAAAAGATTCCCTCTTCTGAGTTAGATTCATGCCTTCAACTATTTATATTATTAAGCTTTCGGGGCTATTCTGGAACAAGATGTCTGTTCAGAAACCTTTCTAGAAAGTTTCTTATGTTATTTATGTCACTACTAAAGCTATTTCCCTTCCCTTAAAGGACAACTGTTTATGTACAAAAGAAAAAATCATTATTAAGCCAACAATGTTGATAAACAATTCTGATTTGCTCCTAACTGCCCCATAGTTGTCTTTTATGCACTAACTGGAGGCCCAATGCACAAAATTCATGCAATAGGCCTTCCTTCTCCCGGCTGCCAGCACAGGATTCCCTCTGGTGCCAGGGACGCCCCCCTTCCCTCACAGAGGGAGGCCCTGCCCACTCGCCGCAGCCCACTGGTCAGTCACCTGGGCCTCCCTCTGCAGGGTGATCATAGGGTGATGGCCAGGCCAGAACATTCACATTGTACCCACCTTGGCTATCCTGGCACCAGTGGGTGTCATAGTGTGGTCCCAAATGGTTGTTTTGAGGCCGTTTGGTCAATTTGCATATTATGCTTTTATTATATAGGATTGATTTCATAAATCTCTGGGCTAAAAAATTGTCAAGTAACCAGTTAATTTAATAGTATATTTTCAAAGCTATTCTCATATCCTCTCAATTAGAAGTAAATTTTAACGATTTTTATGTAAATGGTTTTAATCTCACAAGTCAGATCCCCTAAATAACTTATACAATTTTTGAAAGCTCTGAACTTTTATTTGCTTATTTTCTCCTGCAAGCTTAATATACTTACCAAAAAGTTCCACATTCCACATCATCACAGTTTTCATCTTGACTCAAAGGAAAAAAGAAAAAAATTAAAAGCCAAAATTAACTATTTTCAGCCTCAATTTTCAAATGTCATTTGTTTCCACCTAATTCTAGTAAATTTATATAGTGTAATTCTAAACTTCGCTATTTGACATTTCCCTGGTGAAGAAAAGCAGTAGAAACTTTTCACCATCTGTGCTGTTTTTGGAAACCAGCCTCTCCCATCTGTGGTCTGGGCCAAGCAACGCTGAGTATGGGACATGGAGGGGGAGGGGTGCGCGTTGCCTTCACAACTGCGTTCAGAACGCTAACTCTAGGAATTACCAGTTGTTACTCTGCAGTTGAATGTTCTGGAGAATGGCCCTCTATTAATAAGGTACCAACAAAAGAAATAGGTAACTTTCTACATTCAATAAGCCATAAAAGAGAATACCAATTAGGAGAAGGGAAAAGAATTGATAGAAAGACCTAGTAAAAGTCGAGTCTTTACATTTTTAATAGACCATTTTCTACTAAATCAGCTAATTCTGAAGCCTTTGAATTTCAAAATCTTATGGAATTCAGTTTTTTCAAACTAAGGTGCTAAGGAAGTGTTGTTTTTCAGTATAAAGAGGTTCTAACTAACTAGACTTCAGTTGAGATACAGATAGGTTCTAACTAGACTTCAGCTGAGGTGGGTGGGGGGTATGGTGAGTATACAGAACTTGCCCAACAGTGGTGGGGGGAGAGGGGGGAGTGCGGCGCGGGAAGGGGCGGTCTGCCTCTCTGTTTAGAACGTGGTGCAAAGTGAGGTTGCTAAATTAGAAGTAACAGGAGGAGGAAGACATAGAGTCCATTATCTCAAGCAATATACAAATGTGCTAGTAATTTTTGTTTCGTGAGAGTTGTTTTTCAACAACTACCACCACCACCGCCGCCGCCGAAAAAGTTAACTGGCCTCAAACGCACCTTTATTTCTTCTTCTATTTCCAAACTCTCAACAACTTTGGTTGTCAAGCTCTACTCACACCTGTGAAACCTGACAAATGGCAAAAATCTTGACAAGACAACAAGAGAGGGAGGAGGATAGAAAAAGGGAGAGGGATGTGAGACCGGGTGGGAGGGAAAGGGGAGGGAGGGAAAGGAGGGGAGGGGGGAAGGTAGAGATTAAGGGAGAGGGAGGGGGAGGGGAAGAAGAGAAAGGAGGTGGAAGAGGGGGAAAAACGAGTACATGCACTTTGCCACCCTCCTGGCCAACTGAAATGCTAGATCCAGAGATTACAGTAATTACAGCCCCAGCATGAATTCCATACAAGCGCTAAATGAAACAGCACATCAATTAAAAAAAATAAACACTCCATTCTAGGAGAAAGACAACCCCCTGGGAAGTCCTAACTAGCATAAATGAACCTGCCAGGCTGCAAGCCCCACGTTCCCCCACCCCCCAATTCGCCCCTCCCCCGCCCACCCCCAACCCACACCTCCATCACCACCACCACTTTAAGGTGGTCGCGGAGCTGGCGCGGGCTCCACCGGTCGGCGGCGTCCTCGGTGCCGCCAACAGCAGCCAGGGACCCTCTCCACTCTGCAGACCGCGAAGACGCTCATGTCAGCTCCAGGGCGCAGCAGCACCTCCCAAGGAAGAGAAGGCAGCTCTGGCAAATACACAAAGATGTGAACTTTGCATAGCAGAACATGTTCCAAAAGTACAAGGTGGAGAGTGAATTCAGCCGCAGTTTCCAGTCTGTCCTATTTATAAGTTTTCCTTTTTCTTTTCTTTTTTTTCTTTTTAGGTGAAGGGAGTTTTTCTTTCCTTAAGGAAGAACTGGGTCCCGGGGGCCTTACATATTTATCTCATCTTATTATCAAAATCCCCTTTCAGGACACGGAGGCCCGCCAGGTCAGTCGGCGGGCAGAGGCAGGAGAGCCCCGGGGCCGCCCCTGTACCTCGCGCCCTTGGTGTCAGCAGGTGGACCAGGGACCCCTCCGTCCGGGACGTCCCCCGTCCTACCTCACCATCCAAAATGTACTGCCATCTTTCCCTTTTCTCCCACATTTCCAAGCCTCAAAGACCATTATTTTGAGAAATCCAAGGAGGGCACCCTTTCTCGGATTCCCCACAGCGCCCGGCCCCAGCTCACGCAGGGGCACGGGCCCCCATGGCCCACAGGCCACCCACATTCGGGGAGACTCTTGAACCGGGACTTAATTTGTTTAAAAAAAAAAAAAAACAAAACAAAAAAACGGGCCTAGAAGAGCGTGTACCGAGTTAAAACTTCGCCCCCGGCCCCCAAGAGCAGATTTAGAAATGGAACCGAGTCCTCGGACGCGCGTTGAGTGCGGGGCGGAGCGGGCGGGCAGGGGCGCAGTCGTGGCAGAAAGACCGCCTCTGCGGTCAACCCCAAGGTTACCGGGCTCCCCGCGGCCACCGCGCATGCCTGCGCCCCCGGACGGCCTTAAGGGGGGCCGGGCCTGCGGAGCGAGGAGACCCCGCCCCGATTCCTGAGATTGGCGTGCGGGCCGAGGGCGGAAACCGGGCCGCGCCGTATAAATATTCATGAGGCGGCGGAGCCCGGCGGGGCCGCGGCGGGGAAGTTCGGCGAAGGCGCAGCTCCCGCCGCGGAGGAGGTAGCAGTGGGCGCCGATCGCCCAGCTCAGGTGTCTGCTCCGCCTTCCGGTCTGGATTTGTTCTGCATGTCTAGCGAGGAGGGGCAGCCTGCGCCTCGCCGATCGCTGGCTGCAGCTCGAAGCGGACTTTTACCGGACCGGCGCCGTGGAGAGAGGGATACGGCCTGGGCGAAGGCGGCTCCCTGCTCCGGAGCGGCTTTGGGGACGAGCATGAACCCTCGGGGGGCGTGAGGGGCCGCAGGGCTGATCCCGCGCGGAGCGGCCTGGCCCAGCCATCTTGCCTGCGTGCGGCGGCCCGAAAGGAAACTTGCTGCGCCGCCGCCCTCCGCGCTCCGCCAAGTCCCCGGCGCCGCGAGACGCGGAGAGGACGCGAGAGGGAAGGACCATGAGCCGGCGGCCGGCCACTCTGCTCCAAACGGGCTGAGCTCGAGCGGGGACTGGAGCGCACTCCTGCAGCCACCCTCAGCTCCCGGCGCGGCGGGCTGCGCCGTGTGGACGTGTCCAGAGAGGGATTAGGGACTGGGCAGATAAACAACCTCTCGGGAGAAGCAGGAGAAAGACGAGCAGGGCACTCACTCTCTTCTCTGGCGCTCGCTCTCTTTCTCTTTCTCTCTCTCTCTCTTCCTCTCTCTCTGGCTCCTCCGGAGCCCCTCTGCTCACTGCCAGGAGGGCGAGGGGACGAAGCATGGAGTGGAGTTACCTGTTGGAAGTGACCTCCGTGCTGGCCGCCTTTACGCTGCTGCAGCGCTCCAGCGGCGCCGCGGCCGCCTCGGCCAAGGAGCTGGCCTGCCAGGAGATCACGGTGCCGCTGTGCAAGGGGATCGGCTATAACTACACCTACATGCCCAACCAGTTCAACCACGACACGCAGGACGAGGCTGGTCTGGAAGTGCACCAGTTCTGGCCGCTGGTAGAAATCCAGTGCTCGCCCGATCTCAAGTTCTTCCTGTGCAGCATGTACACGCCCATCTGCCTGGAGGACTACAAGAAGCCCCTGCCTCCCTGCCGCTCGGTGTGCGAGCGCGCCAAGGCCGGCTGCGCGCCCCTCATGCGCCAGTATGGCTTCGCCTGGCCGGACCGCATGCGCTGCGACCGGCTGCCCGAACAGGGAAACCCGGACACGCTGTGCATGGACTACAACCACACCGACCTCACCACCGCCGCGCCCAGCCCGCCGCGCCGCCTGCCGCCGCTGCCGCCTCCCGGCCAACAGCCGCCCTCCGGCGGCGGCCACGGCCGCGCGTCCGGGGCCAGGCCGGCGTCCCGGGGAAAGGGCGGGGGCGCAGGGTCTCCCCCTACTCGCGGCGGCGGGAAGGCGCGGCCCCCTGGCGGCGGCGCGGCGCCCTGCGAGCCGGGCTGCCAGTGCCGCGCTCCCATGGTGAGCGTGGCCAGCGAGAGGCACCCGCTGTACAACCGCGTCAAGACCGGCCAGATTGCCAACTGCGCTCTGCCCTGCCACAACCCCTTCTTCAGCCAGGACGAGCGGGCTTTCACCGTCTTCTGGATCGGCCTGTGGTCCGTGCTTTGCTTTGTGTCCACCTTCGCTACCGTGTCCACCTTCCTCATCGACATGGAGCGCTTCAAGTACCCGGAGCGGCCCATCATCTTCCTCTCAGCCTGCTACCTCTTCGTGTCCGTGGGCTACCTGGTGCGCCTGGTGGCGGGGCATGAGAAGGTGGCGTGCAGCGGCGGCGCGCCGGGCGCAGGGGGCGCGGGCGGCGCGGGCGGCGCGGCGGCTGCGGGCGCGAGCGCGGGCGCGGGCGGGCCTGGCGCGGGCAGCCCGGGCGGGCGCGGGGAGTACGAGGAGCTGGGCACGGTGGAGCAGCACGTGCGCTACGAGACCACGGGCCCGGCCCTGTGCACCGTGGTCTTCCTGCTGGTCTACTTCTTCGGCATGGCCAGCTCCATCTGGTGGGTGATCCTGTCGCTCACGTGGTTTCTGGCCGCTGGCATGAAATGGGGCAACGAGGCCATCGCCGGCTACTCGCAGTACTTCCACCTGGCCGCGTGGCTCGTGCCCAGCGTGAAGTCTATCGCCGTGCTGGCGCTCAGCTCCGTGGACGGCGACCCGGTGGCGGGCATCTGCTACGTGGGCAACCAGAGCCTCGACAACCTGCGCGGCTTCGTGCTGGCGCCGCTCGTCATCTACCTTTTCATAGGCACCATGTTCCTGCTGGCCGGCTTCGTGTCCCTCTTCCGCATCCGCTCGGTCATAAAACAGCAGGGCGGCCCCACCAAGACGCACAAGCTGGAGAAGCTCATGATTCGCCTGGGCCTCTTCACCGTGCTCTACACCGTGCCCGCCGCAATCGTGGTCGCCTGCCTCTTCTACGAGCAGCACAACCGCCCGCGCTGGGAGGCCACGCACAACTGCCCGTGCCTGCGGGATCTGCAGCCGGACCAGGCGCGCAGGCCTGATTATGCGGTGTTCATGCTCAAGTACTTCATGTGCCTGGTCGTGGGCATCACCTCAGGTGTGTGGGTCTGGTCAGGCAAGACGCTGGAGTCGTGGCGGGCCCTGTGCACCCGCTGCTGCTGGGCCAGCAAGGGTGCCGCGGTGGGCGGGGGTGCGGGCGTGAGAGACACTGGCGGGCCGGGCGGGGGCGGGGGGGCCGGCGGGGGGCCGGGCGGGGGAGCGGGCTCTCTCTACAGTGACGTCAGCACAGGCCTGACGTGGCGATCTGGCACTGCCAGCTCACTGTCTTACCCAAAGCAGATGCCATTGTCCCAAGTCTGAGCAGAGGCCAAGTGCTGCGAAGGGACACTCCACGGGCTGATGTTCCCACCCCTTCGCTGTTATTTTGACTGCTATCAGCATGATCACGAACTCTTAATGGTATCCATTAGCTAAGACTTAAATGACTGGCTTAGAACAAAGTACCTGGCATTGAGGACTCCCAGACCCAGCCTCCTTTCCTCCATTGATATGCGAGGAACTCCTCTAGGGAGGTGGGAGACATTCATCTCTATTGGCAGAGAAGGGTGGACTCTGCATCGTTCCCAGAACCCAAGGCTTGGAGCCTTCCTTGGTTGCCATTGGTGGAACTTGAAGCCAGATCTACAGATTTTACCCGAGGGACCTATTTTTCTCCTATGTAAAATCCTTTTGCATCCTAAAGGAGGGATGATCACAATCTAACTGGATTGCATGGTTTGGGTATTCTTAATGACCAGGCAAATGCCTTAATTATACACCCCAAGTAAATATGGGTTTCTTACACTAGAGGATGTATTTATATAATTATTTGCTAAGTGTAAAAAATGTAAAATATGTACATATCCAGAGATATACAGTCTGTACATTTTTTTTGTAAAAAGTTTAGAGGTCATTCCTGTAAAAACAAATATAAGTATTCTATTTTGTCAATAAAATGGCTTTTGATAAATGATTTAAACATTGCCCTCTCCCCCTACTTCTTCTAAGCTGTTACCTTTAAAGTGTTTGCTAAGAACATGTTGGAAAAATGGACCCTTTCTGGTTTCTCCGTACACTGGTCTTAGGTATGGAGGAAAAGACCTGTTAATTCCAGTTCTTAAGTTGTTAGTAACGTAAAAATCACTGTTGAACTGAAATCAAAACTGAGTTTTTCACCTTCCAAAGAGACGGTGTTTTTAATGGTAGCTCTTTTTGATCCATGGATAGTGCTCACCTTAGCATGTGTATATGGCAGTAATTCCACTCAGGCCTTGTTATTTATCTTGTATATTATTACTAAACGATTTAAAACTCCACATTTTTTCCTCTCTAATGTCCACAATTTTGAAAGCACCTGGACTGAACATGCTGTTGAAGTGTAAAGGTGAATGTTTTAAACCCTCAGAATACACTGTACAGTATGTGTAAGTCATTTGACACTCTGTGGTGGAACAGGCATCCTTAATGGATTAAACTAATGGTTAACATCTTAATGACCTTCCAGGCTGTGTATATCAAATGTGCTGCTTTTCTTGGAGAAAAGGCTATTGTTCTTCTGTCAACACTAAACTAATTTATTTGAGCAGAAGGCTGTTGAATTAACAGAAGAATGCTTTGGCAATTGTTGAACTTTTTACCTGTCTGCCTAGTAGCCCAGCACATCATTTCTTTAAGAGGAGCTAAATGAATAGTGTTAATCTGTAGGGAACTTGGTCTTTTGAGTTTGAAAAACTTTGATCTTTTCTCTCCAAATGTGCTGTAAAACGGACGTTTCTTTAGCTGTTGCCAGGCTCCTCTTGGTACATACCAATTGGCCACCATGGAGCCTTAGCATTCTCCCATTAAAGGGATGTGGGACTTTTTTACTTTAAAAGGGAGAGAGCTGAGGAGAGGAAGACTTGTAACAGTGAAGACCAGAAGCATAAGTATGCTCAGCCTTTTAAACAGCTTTTCCAGGCATTGTTAGCCAGCCTGCAGGCAGCTAGCAATGGGCTGGAGCATCATAGAAAAGGGCTCTGAATGCCCTACAGGTGGTCTGCACACATAATCCCCCAATTTAAAGCATTTTCCTTTGCTGGACAATTATATTACAAAACTCCCTTCTTTTTTGCTCCTAATTGAACCAATGAACTATTTATTATACAAGTTTTTCCTTTAAAAAAAAAAAAAAAAAACCCTCAGTGCCTAAATTTTATTGACTAAATTCTGACAGGTTTTCTGAACTGAACCTTTAAAATCACACCAGGAGTAAAATCTTCAGCAGACATTTCTCTTTTCCATATATTTTCATTTCTCCTGCTTGTTATTTTCTGACAGATTAGCAATAATTTAAAAGTAATTGGTAAGGTTGCATGTTCATACTGAAAGGATAGCCCCAGGTCCCTTATTAACCTGTCAATCAAGATAAGAAATGGGCAGCTACCCTGCTAATGATGGGGACATCAAACTGTGAGGTGGAGAACTTACTCTCTGCAGCCGCTAAGATGTTTGTTCTCTTTACTTTTCCTAATAGGAATATTTAGCGGTTTTGAAAAATGTGTTTTAATTAATAGGACAGAAACTACTTCCCTGGCTTCTCTTGGAGACTTTTTAAGACGTTTCTTGGTAAAAAAAAAAAAAAAAAAAAAAAAAAAAAAAAAAAACCATTTAAAACCATTTTGCAAATCCTTTCCAGAGTTATTCTTAATGTTCATTTAATTGTTGAAATTAGATATGCAATACTAGTGAGAACACCCACTTTAGCTGTCATGCATATTTTATTTTTTAAGTCAGAGGCACTGTAAAATATTCACCTCCCAGCAGTTTTATTCATTAAAAAATTACAATTTTGTAACTTAGGTTCCAGTAAGTGACCTGCATCTAACCCGTGTGGTGATCACTATGTGGTTTATGTATGTTTATAAACCAGCCATAAACTTTACACTTTCAGTTATAAAGTAGAATTTGAGGGCATCCCTATAACCTACCACATATGTTGGATGAAGGAAGAGCTAAAAGTCACTAGTTAGCATGTGGGTTTTCTAATATAGACACATTTTCAACTATGTGACAGTGGAAAATGTTCCACTTTGAAGCTCTATTTCTTTATTAATTTCTTCAATATATCCTTGTAAAATGCCATATTTGATAACATAAAAAATAGTTGTAAGTGTGCTAAATATAAGCAAACTTAATAAAAAACAAAACAAAATTAAAAAAAAAAAAAAGCCCTATTGACATTCTGGGGACAGCTCTCAGTAAAAAGATCCATACCTGTAATAACTAGAGGCTGATATTAAAACACAAGTGCCAGTTCTTTTGCCTTTAAAGCTAAACCATGAGTTACAAAATTGCTAGTACTCAAATTGTATCTATAAAGGGAATAAAAAAAAATTGATTGGGGGTGAAAAATGAGAAGAGAATTTGGCCATTAGACAAATGAATGGGTCCCTTGGCGGGTGTGCTATACAGGTGTGTCCTTACTAACTATATGGGGTAAGTGCTAGGTTTTTTTTTTAATCTTTTTAAATATAGGGGATTGGGAGGGAATGTAGTTATTTTGTGGCTAGGTCAATGGGAAAAAAATCTAATATCATTAAAACCATTAAAGCCAAAGCTCTTTAAAATTACTTATGGCAGAAGTTATGTGAAACACTTTCTACATTGTAGTAAATGCAATTTGAATGCAACATAAAACAGAAGGGAGGAAATGTAGAAGTTTAAAGAACCAACTGTCATCAGTACAGTTTCTTTCTATCTTTCTTTTTTTAAGTGGATTTTTATTGGTTTCAAAGAGGAAGGGAGAGGAAGAGATAGAAACACCAAAGACAAGAGAGAATCAGTGATCAGCTGCCTCCTCACAAATCCTGCTGGGGATGGAGCCCTTGATGGGACCTGAATCCAGGACACTTTAGTCCGCAGGCCAATGCTCTACCCACTGAGCCAAACCAGCTAGGGCACCAGTACAGTTTCTTAATATGTGTTGATGGCGTTGCAGATTCCTTCAGAGTTTGGGGTAAGGAATTCATATTGTCTCTCCAAAAGAAAAAAAAAATCACACAAAGAGACAAAAGCAGTTGCAGAGTATAGGATGCAATTTAAAGTGCAAGGGCAAACATTCAGTTGAGACTCTCCAAACTGCAGGTGTATCCACCTTCCACCTTTGATACTACACTGCCACCTTGTGGCACCACCAAGATCCAGAACTAGGGAAGGAGCCCCACGCAGACTCCACCCAGAGGTGGACCTACCAGCATTTTGTATTCATAATTTCGAATTCTTTCTCTCAAGAACAGAAACCCCAAAATTCATCAGTTTAGGGCCCCACAAGACTACAATTGAAATAAATCCTTATATTAAGGGTTATAGTAAAAATATAATTAAGCTGTTGAAGTCCAAAGGTTTAACTTCTTAAAATTATCTTCTGAGTTACTTTTTTTTAAAGAATGGGCTGCTTCCCAAAGATCCACTATACCTTTTAATGGGAGAAAGAGTGAGTTCCGAGACATGAAGACTAGTCTGAGATGGCTTGTAGTTGACTTGGCTATTTAAATGTGTTACTTTACTGTTTCCCATATAAAGTCTATCTACTGAGACCAGTGGACACTCTTCAGTGCTGCATGTGAATGCTGTTGGGACGGGTAGGATGCAGGCTCTCCACAATATCTAGCCAGGTGTTTGTGGAAACACACCAAAGAAGAGAAACTGCTGCAAAACAAGGTCACCCAAAAAGGAAGAGAAGAGGAGCACGCGCTGTGGAATACCTGAACACTGTGGGAGAAAGATTTCCATCGCACAGCTGTGGGGAAGTCCAGGCCCTTAATGGGGACCTGAGAGCCTCACAGAGCCCACTGCTGAGCTTCCTGTTCCTGAGGGTCAGGTGGCCGGGGAGATTAGAGTGGGGAAAAGCACTGGTCAAAAGGATGCAGACTAAAGATCTTATATTATATTATTGCAAATGTAGGCAGCGGCAGAGAGGAGGTGAAGTGGCCCGAGTCAGCCAGGGGCCTGAGAGGCAGGCTTTGCCGGCAGCCTCTGAGGCAGCATGTTCAGATATTTCTATCATGATCATGGAATTTTAAAGACAAAGATCCCAGGGGCCATCGAAAATCTCACCACTCCATAAACAAGTAGCAGAGGCAAGACCTAGCACTATGATGGAAATACAGACTCTCAGGTCTTGCTCATTGAATCAGAAGCCATATTTTAATAAGATCCTAAGCGACTAACACAGGTTAGCCCTACACTGAAGCCCAAAGAGGACTGGACTTGCCAAAGACACGTACAGCGCCGAGCAGGGCAGGGCCTGGAAGACATGGATCCTACTTGTCACTCCTATTTCTGCCTTT